GCCATATATGCATCCGATGAAGTGGGCTGTAGTCCACGAAAGCTTATGCTCTAATAAATTTGTTAGTCTCTAAGGTGCCACAAGTACTCCTGTTCTCATTGTAGATGAGGTTATGAAAGTTTGCTAGGTGTTTCTATCTCACACCTGTTGTGTTCCTAGGTATCACCCTCAAGACAGATTTACATCAAGGCTGGCCCATTAAGGACAATCAGCTCTTCCAGGGACCCCTCCTGAGGTCCCTTCAGGCAGCACCTAGGCCCTGAATGTCTCATGACTCAGCAAGGCACACATGAGCCAGGACTCGATTGTCATAGCCTGAATTACAAACTCTAAAGTCAACTGTAGTGTATAATCACTTAGTGCTTTTTTTTTTTAATATTAATAAACCTTTAGTTGCTAAAGGATTGGCTACCAGCATGATAAATAATCATTTATCACAGAAGCCTGGTGTGGCTGGGTGGTGGTGGAGGGGCTAGAGGGCCAGACTAGGCAGTATGCATGACTTACCATGCATTCTTTGTTCACAGCTGTATACATTTTTGTGTAGCCCTATGAAAATGCGTATCCTTTGCTTGTACACCCGTTGACGACTCGATCCAGATTGTTCTGAATCAGTGACTTGTCCTCTTGGTTATTTACTACTCCCTCCATTTGTGAGGCACCTGCAAGCTTTAATCAGGGAAGATTTTGTGTTTCTTCCAGGTCATTCATAAAAATGTTAATGAGCAGAGGGCCAAGAACAAAGCCCTAGAGGACCCTACTGGAAACACACCCACTGACAACTCCCCCTTTAGAGTTACATTAAGACCTGTCAGTTAACCAATTTTTAATCCAGTTATGGCCATGTTAATTTTATAGGATTTTTTTTTTAAATCAGAATGTCATGTGGTACCAAGCCAAATCCTTACAGAAGTCTAAGTATATTAGAACACTATTACCTTTATCAAAGTTGCAGTCTCATTTGGAAAAAAAAAATCAAATTAGTCTGAGGTTTTATTTTCCATAAACCCATGTTGATTTGCATGAACATTAAAAAGAGAACTAATGCATGGTAATTGAATCCTATATCAACCATTCCATTATCTTAGAGGATTTAGAGACCTGTCAGCCTGACGACATTACCTAGCTCATCTCATTTGAAAATTGGCACATTAGCTTTCTTTCAGTCTTCTAGAACTTCTCCAGTGTTCCCAGACTTATTGAAAAATCAACATCAATCAGCCAGCAAGTTTCTCAGCCAGCTCTTTTAAAACTCTTGGATAGGTTAGTTGGACCTGCGGATTTGTCTAACTTTAGTAGCTGTTCCTTTTACATCCTCCACAGATACTAGGGGAAAGGAAAAGGTATTATCACCATGAGACAATATTTTTTCCCCAAATGGAAAAACAGAAATATTGAACACATCTCCCTTCTCGGCATTATTATTGCTAATTCTACCATTTCTATCTAGTAATGGGCTAATACCATTTTCAGGATTTTATTCCTAATATTTAAAAAAACTCCTTGTTGTCCTTAACTCTGCTGGTCATAGATTTCTCCTTGTGTGCAAGTACTTTGCTGTTGTACGATGAGACTGGCAGCTGTGGGGATAGCAACACAGAATTAGGGTTGGGAGAAGCTGGAAAATGCATGCTATCCGGCAGCATTTTACACAAAACTCCATTGTTTGTTCTCCAGTGGGGACCCCCCATGTCACCTTACACACACACCCCCCCCCCAACACACACACTTTCTGGGTCTGGCAGTACTTTATGGCTGAAGAATGGCAGAGCCTTTTCCTCCTCAAGAACCTAGTGGTTGATTCAAGCACTTGGAATCTTTGAGTTCAGGGGAAGGAGTCAGTTGGACACTTGTGTGTGTCACTTCAGGCTACACCCACAGCCCAGCCCCTATAGCTCCACTGCAATCTGCAGGAGAAGCAGAAACTCCGCACCTGAAAGACAGGTCATTTGAAATCTTGTACGAACAGGCATGCAAAAGTCTAACTGTAGACACCCATTTCAGAGTTCCCACCTCCAGGCTTAGCCAGAATTAGTTGAACGAGACACAGAAGTTTGCAGTTAAGAATTTATTCTCCCAGTTCCAGTTCAAAGAGAACAGGCAAGCAGAGGATGTGACAGTCATTGGACACACGATCCTCTTCCATGCTGGAACGATCAAAGTGATAACTCAGTGATGCATCTAGCAGCAAGACTGCAAGTAACTAAATGTAACCCCAGATACATCTAGCCCACAGAGGAATAGCACTGCCAGGCTAATGCCTAGAACAAGTGTTTAATAATCTTCTCCTTCCTCCTCCTCATCCCCATCTGCAGAATCCAACCCAACTTCCTCATAGTCCTTCTCTAGAGCAGCCATGTCCTCCCTGGCTTCGGAGAACTCCCCCTCCTCCATCCCTCCCCACCACTACCAACT